AAGTGATTTCTGTAGCCAGTTTCTCTTTTGCCTCTTTCCCACTGCCAGTACTCGCATTGCTTTTGATGTGTAGAAGAGCAAACAGCTTACTCTCTTGAAATCCCTCTCCAATCTCTGTGCTCTGTGGAGGTGTGGGGGGCGGGGAGAGAAAAAAAATCACAGGTCAGGCACAGGACATATACTGACTGTAATGATCACATGACTGAGGGAGACTGTGAAGGTCATAAATGGTTGTAAATGAGCTGTAAAGTTATTTTTTCAGCACCGTTGTAACTTTGAACAGCTGCTGAACGAATGGTCAGTAAGCAAGGACTACCTGTAGTTAATAGTATCTTTTGATCCATCAGACCACTCTAACAGTTACCAAATACTAGATTAAATATTTGGGTTAGTAGAATTCTACTGCTGGAAGTAATTTGCTTTTATTTTTTTTAAATCAATAGAGTAGCAGTTCTCAAGCAAAATCTTCACGGTGGAAAATACCAAGTTCCTGGAAATTACTTTTTGGCAGCGGACTCCCATCTTCATTGTTTTAAATCATATATTGTTTTCTATATAGCCTACTTGTATACAATCCAAATTGTATTTTGGAATCTACAGGTCTGTGTCATCTTACATGAAACTAGTGATCATTTGTCATGGATATTTTAACTTACTTTAGCAAACTTATTATATCAAAACTGGACAACATTTCACAAAAAATAAAGCCTTTGCATATTTTTGGTTTAAATATTGAACTGTCCCAGACTTCTCATTCTTCATATCTAATTTCTTCTGTCTTAGCATAATGAAAAAAAATTGAGGTATTCAGCATGTATACCATTCCCAATTTTCTGTCACATTAGGATGCATATAACATTTGGACAAGAGGCATTATAGGTTATGTGGTGATCTTGTAAATATACTCAGAAAATTTTGTACAAAATAATGAAGCAGATTTTAGAAAATCACAGGCATTATATTTGACTTAAGTCAGCCTTGTTAAAAGAGGGATTTGAGGCATATAAAGGTCTATGTTCATATAAAGAAGTGGTTTAGCTGTAAAATGGGAACATGTGGTTTAAGTTTTTAAAGGGTTGTTTTTTAATTTCTTTGTAGCTTTAACACTCAAAAGCTAAGTGCCCAGAAGAGCTGTTCTTGTGTAGACCAGCTGTAAGTACTTAAAAGAATATTCTTGAATTTTATAAGTTATATTAGTATTTGGCAATTGTATTTCTAAGCTCGTTAAGAAAGTTCTGTCACTAAAGAGGAAACTGATGTTGGAGCTTCCCAAATACAGGAAAACCCGACTTGTGTCTGTTTTTTAAATTTCCTTATTGAGTTTCTCTTTAAACAAAAAGAAAAGTATTTCTCCCTGAGCAATAGAATTCATTCATGCAGGCTCCAGAGTTGTTCCCAACTTCCATGTACTTGTCTAAAAATATAGTAACTCCAGCACTGCCATGCCTGAACAGTGAGTTTTATTTCCAGATTCTTTAAATTTTTTCAAATATAACAGTGTGAAAGTGGATTTGTGGCAGTGAGATAATCATTTTCTTTTAAAAATGGATGGATGGGAAAATGAACTTTTGAACATGTCTCTGGACAGACCCACCTTCCTTTTTGCACCTTCTATTCTAAAAATGTGTGTGTCCAATACTATCAATAGACAAGTTTTGTCATCTCCATCTGAAGCTGGTTTAAACCTCATTCCCTCTTTGTAATAAATCTGAGAATGAGTTAAAGTCTCACTGGAAATAGAACTGAATAAAAGACAATCATGTAGAAATATTGGTAGCTGAAGCTGAGAGTAATCATGGATTAAAGCATTTCTCAGAGCATTGCCAACAATCTTTCTGGAACTGAAAAATATACACACAACAGTATATAAATTAAAAAAAATATTTAATGCTGCCAAAAATATTAAAAAAAATACAAGAATGGCAGTACAAAGTATTTTGTAAATGTGATCTTACAACTCTACAATTAATACAAGCATAAAACACGTAAGACAAATTCTATTTTGCAAAGTCTCTTGCTGGTGATGTACTTCATTCCCTGTTTGTTTACGCTGTAAACAGATATTTATGAGGCCGCTTGTGTATTGCTCAGACCTCATTTTTTTTTTTCCTGAAGAACAGTGATGTCCTGTTTTGCATGTCAATAGTGTGTTATTATAGCTGAAGAACATTCTCAAGTCTTGGCAATTTAGGCGTCAGTCACTCTCGGCCTATAAACACACAATGTAAAAGAGTCACAAGTTCAGTACAGTCAGGAGTATAATTTTAGGGTTTTATAACTGCAATGCAAATATACCAGTTTTTTTTAAAAAATCAAAGTTGAATTTATTATGAGTAGATACTGCAACTTGGATGTATACATGCTTGTATGGGCATTCTGCTATAAACAAAATGTCCTTGAACTAATAGTTATAAAATCATATTAGAAAATCTATCTTGGCTGGTATTTTGCTATTGAATGTGTATAAGAAACAGCTCATCATCTGTTCCCTTTGAAATAAGCCTTAAATGTTAAAAAGTGGGCTATGTAGTGGAAGTGCAGCAATTATCTTAGCTATCACACTTTAGAAAGAAAATGTAAACAAAAACCTGCTTAACATTATATAACATTGAAGGACAAGAAGCAATACGAGGAATCAATATAGCAACCGCTCACTGAAAGAAACTGAAAATAGGGTTGTATTTTTAAAATGCTTAAAAACTGCAATTAATTAATCACGGTATTTACAAGAATATGTATTGAACAAGCATGTTTTCAAAAATGTATGTTATTTACAGTCATGAAAATAATGCAGCAACTACTTTTGAGAAATTGTTAGAATTAAGTATCCAGCTGCACTATTACTTTGCATTTGTGCTTATGATTTGTGTGATATGGATAAATGAACCTGGGAAAAAATAGACTATTATTTACTCTATAAAATGCAGCCAAATGCCTACTGGAGAGGGAGTGCTAAAATGTTAAAGCTGAACAGAAAAGTGCAGGGATATAGTGCAATAGGAAAGTTCTAGTTTCTATGTGAACTCCGTATGAAAGGGAAAGACTCCTGCAATCTTGGAAAGCTGCTGCCAGTCACACAGTACAAAGTGTAAAGCAAATCTATATTATTTAATGGGGGTAGAAACAGAACAATACTTCAACTGACTATCTTTGTGTATACATGTGCACCTAAGACAAAGCTTGAAAACTAGTTAATCTCAAGAGGACACATTTCATTTTACTGTGCTTTCATGTTTCCTATGTGAAGGTTAGTATGTGTATATATGTATGTAATGTCAGTTCTGGATCAATACACAAAAATACTTTTTCACAATTCTATCATACTAGGGTTTCAATACCATACACAAATCTTAGAAATGGCAGCATGAATCATATTACAGCAAAAAATGGAAGAGTTGTTGAAGCCTGGTGTGATTGATTGTTCTTCAATTAAAGTACATCATTTCTTATTTTTCAAATTATAACTTGTAGGCCAGGAAAGGTGAAATAAAAGGCAGCTTTGTCTCTGGAATATCTTTTTATGCAATAAAGGGCATGAGGAACTTCACATTAACCATTTCAGTGTTTTCAAAACATGGGATGCCATTTTTTCAAGAATAGAATTTATAAGAAACTTAGAGCACATATAGTAACACTAGACTTTTTAAGTTGTATTATTTTAGCCATAATAAATTATTGGTGGTTGAACCTAGAAGGTATCCCCATTGGCAACATATCTTCCAGCAGAACTGCTCAAAAGAATTGGAGGACTCCACAGCAACTCTGGAGAGCTTGCAGGGGACAAGAGCAAAGGAACAGCCTGTTGCACAAAAAGATACCTAATCACCTAACCTGCTGTGGCCCAGAATTTTGTTATTTTCATGGTGATGTCTCAGATCCATCCACTTTACAAAGTGAAGTTTTGGAACATTTAAAGATCGTTAAACTGTATTCTTATCAGGGCGGTCCAGTTTAATTGTTTTATGTAAGAGTATCTGAGATGGGGCCCATAAGATATTTTGGATAAATATGGATGCCCTAAATATGGTAATATTATGTAAGGGGGTTGTGAGTTCTATGCAAGAAACACAATTGGTTACTCTTGTTCTTCAAATATAATGATAAAATGGAGAGGATTATTCCTAGTATATAGTTTATGCCACAGCCCGATGCCAGCAGCTTCAGAAATCTTCATTTCCACCCTCCTTCCCCTGATAAATCTGTATTTTGGCTATTTGCTTCCATTTGATATGATCTGATATACTCTATAATTTTATTCTCTGAAATTACTATCAAGTTGGTAATGTGCTGCCTATTCCAATTATAACAGACATAGAAGCTATACAAGAATAGGACTCAAATCCAGTAAGACCCACAAAAATGTTTCACATTTAATGGAATGTTTAAGCTTTAAACACAAGCTATGGCTTCCAACAGTAGCTGCAGTCTTAACAAAGCATTTCTTTCGAAGAGGCAGCTTGAGATACAAGATCCAACCTCCCAGTAGTCTTATAAAATTAAATATTTTCAAATATGTTTATATGTTTTAAATAAAATAGCAGCTAAGCATAAATACATGTATGCATCTTACAAGTAGAAATTGTGTAATAATTATTTGCTAACATTTAATTTCTGAAACAATTTATTAATCATTGCATTGGGAATGGTCAAGAAAGTGAATTTCCAAGTCATTCTTGAAAAGTTGGTCGTAGATGCACCAATAACTCATTTCTATTGGATAAATTTATACAAATGTAGCTTTTAAAAATACAGTTATTTACAAAATGATTATATAGAGTTATCAAATTTGTTTTAAGTCTGCATAGTATAAATGGCTAATGGTACATTAATATACAAATGTAACTTTTTGCATTCAGAATAACACCACACGGTTTATTGCTTATATCATGTATGTAAGTCATCCTTCTGGGACTTGGCCATTCAGGCTATCATCTAGTGAACTATCAATTTAGATACTATATACACAGTTGCTGAAAATGTGCATTAATTTATCTAACAAATGTATAATTTTAATCCAAGTGGCAATTTGGTTTCAGAAGTACTAGTATCGAAAAGTCCTGAGACTGATTTATGATCACATTAATCACCTGATGACAAAACTTCAATCCTGCAAGTTAAACTGCCACTGGTGAAGTAAAAACACATTTGTTCTGTCAGGTGTGGCAGCAATCTTGGATCCATTTATACTCACTTTAAATCCCACTAAATCATGGGATATAAGGTTCGTAGTAGATGTAAGATTGCTCACTTATGTGAGCATGTACTGGGAATACAATTTCCAGGAAGAATAAGCTATAACAAATATGACTGAACCAAATCCAATCTTAATAACAATAGGCTTCCAATATAACCACCTTTTTCTTTTTCTTTCAGATTCACTCAGCCTATGTTTCATCTGCTGCACCATCTGTGCTGTGTTAGCTTTTTTGTCTTCTCTCAGCCGTTTCCGTAAAGCCCTTAAAGAAAATAGAAAGTTTAGCTTTATTTTGAGTTATATAATTCCATGCATGCCCTAATTGTGCAAGATGAGTTAGTACTGCTTGAAAAGAAGCATTATTTTAATACTCGGTTTTATCAGATTAAATTGAACAATGTAGTTTTAATCTGAACAGTTAGATTTAATTCATTATGAAGGAAAATCCTTCAGGCTGGAGCAGGCAAGGGAACAAAGTTCTGTAAGTGAGTGTGTATGAGAAAGTAAGAAAGATGACCTTGACAGAGAAAGGCAAGATCCATGACGAAGGGAAAACATACTTTAAATTCAAAACAAGAAGTATGGGGAAGTGGCTCAGACAGACAATTCCATAATTCATACCAGTGTAAGAAGGGGGAGTAGGTTACAAGATTATTATAGCCACTCTCAACAAAAGTAGTCTTAGCCTTCCAGTGGAGTTGATTCCTGGTCTAGTCTACCTGGTGAGGCTGACAACATGTATGGGGAGAGTATATCCATCAACATATATTTGAATAAGTATCTAATTTTTGAAAATGTACACATTTGAACCATAGCTGAAAATTTCAAAAAGGAAGATGTAAGTTAAATTGGGTTTTTATATTTTAATAATGCATTGTGGTCACACAGTATTATAAGCTGCTTATAGTTATTATGCAACCTATACTATATGCAACTTGAATCCTCAATTCTCTGTTCATGGAAGATTTTCAGAAATTTCCCTATTTGTAATTTCTCATACCCTTATTCCCAAGGGCCCAAAAACTGAAGAACAGATTCTCAGAACTTTTTAGAAATTCTTGGAGGGGGGAGATATACAGATATGCCCCACAACCAATTGTTGTGCTCACCTGCACACAGGCTTCCTACTGTATCATGTTGAGAACTGCCACTAATGAATGTTAATCTAGCAATGTATGATACTTCCAGGCCTTACCTCAGAGGTATGTTTTCTAGGTATGACATCTCTAGTATCTATAAGAGCATGTTTAAAAACCAAACCAAACCAAAACAAATGAAAACTAAATTTTTAGATTCTGAATATATGTATTTAAGGCAATGTTCTTCTGATAACAGAACTAGACAGTGGATATGCATTATTTTCTCCCAACCCATTCCACATCCTGGAAGTACGTTCAGATGTCTGAAGATAAACTATCCATAGCAGAATTTGAGTTGGCAGGGAACTGTTCCTTAATCATTTCCATCAGTGGCAAATTGGTTCTCATCCAAAGAGTATATTCCTACTGCCTTTCAAGGCCTGATGCTGCTCACAAAAATAATAACATATAATGATAATTCTGTTTAAAAATTGATGGGACTATAAAGCACAGAACTATTAGCTGTCAGGTATCCCAGCCTGGGAAGGAAAAGGAATACTACCACTCTCTAATTCAGCTAAAAAAGTCTAGAAAATTCCAGGATGAATTACTTTATCTACCTTCAGGCTACTTTGTCAATGTAAAAAAGACAAAATCTTATCATCTGATAGATTAGATTAAAAAATTGGTTTTTGGCCACCAGCCAGTTTTAACACTATTATAAAATTATTACTCACTTGTCTTCATTTGTATCCGAAGTATTTTGTATGGGAGAAAGCAGATCAACATTTATGTTCTCCCCTTGCTCCTGTTCTTCTAAACCCATGCTATTCCCATTGTACTTCTCTACAATAAGTTTAGTTGGCTGCGGAGGAGAGCATTCAGAACTTGGTGCTTGGTCTTCTTTTGAGAGTTCCTTCCAGCGATACTGAATAGAAAAAAAAATACATGTTTTTTGAATCTGAATACAGTAATACGTCGGTTCACGAATGCTTCTGTTCACGAACAATTCGGTTCGCGAACAGCAGTGTTTGCAAATTTTTGCTTCGCGCACTCCGCATCAAGTGACGAACACGACCCGTGGCCATCTTCCCTGCTGACACGTGGTCGTGGCTTCCTCTAGGCGAGATCGCGGTCGCAGACAGACACTTGCTGTGAAGCTTTTTGGTGTCGCCTCAGGCAAGGTTAGTGTTTTCTCTCTTCATACTGTACTGTACCGTACTTTGTTTCATATTTTTGTGGTTAAACAAAAAATACATATGGTTCAGAATGGATTAACCTTATTTACACTGAACCTTATGGGAAAATTTGATTCGGTTGGCGACCACGTTCACAGGGGTCAGAACCGATCAACCTTATCTACATTGATCCTTATGGGGAAATTTGATTCGGTTCGCGACCAATTCAGCTCGCAACCAGAATCATGGAACGAATTAAGTTCGTGAACTGAGGTACCACTGTAGTTGAATCTGAATAGCTAGATGTAACTATTTTCAACAGTTATTTTCAGAATTAAACTGCAACAAACCATGAAAGACATTAATTTGTAGGGTTAATTATCAGTATGATAATTAAGTATGAACAAGTTGGATAAATAGTACATCTGCTCACATAAAAATGTGCGTAAATTACATCTAATCTATTTAATACAGGTGGTCCTCACTTAGCAACCACTTGTTTAGCAACCATTCGAAATTATGATGGCACTGAACAAGTGGTACTTATGACCATTCCTTGAAGCTCGGGCTGTCGCAGTGACCCTGAGGTCATGTGATCACCATTTGTGACCTTCACTGCTGGCTTCTGACAAGCGGAGACAACAGGGTAGCCAGGAGAAGTTCACAAATGGTGACCACATGATATTACACTTAATGATGTTGTGGGATTTGCTTAAAGACGGCAACCGAAAGTGCTGGAACTGCTGTCACTAAGCAGCATGGTTACATGATGTTGTGCTTTATGACTGCATCACTTACAGACAGAAATTCCGGTCCCAATTACTGTCATTAACTGGGGACTACCTATACAGCAATCTGTGAATTCTTCCCCAGTCTGATTTGGATAGGAGGGAATTCAGACAACTATTTCTTCCTATAACCCCCTAGCATAATCTTAAAGAATGGTATACAGGTAGTCCTTGCTTAATGACCCTAATTGGGACTGGAATTTCTGACACTAGGCAAAGTGGTTGTTAAGCAAAACATCATGTGACTGCACTGCTTACTGATAGCAGTCCCGGTTGCGGTCATTAGGCCAGTACCGCACCGTCATTAGGAAAGGATCTCATGCTTCTCTCCTGTGTGAACTGTGGGTCCGTCCCACTGCCTCCTTCCTAGCCAGGCCTGGCCAGGCCCTTCAGCAGATGAGGCTCTGTTGCCATGCCGCACTTAACTCAGTTCCCCCATCTCCCCTCCATCTCTGCCGTTTTGGTTTCCCTGCACTCCGCTACTGCTTACCCCTGCTGCCTCCCCACAAGGCATCGTGAAGGGCCAGCAGCTACTTTGGCCAGGCGTGCCTTGCCAGGAGCAGGAGGAAAAAGATGGTGAAGGTCAGCTGGGGGTGGTGGCAGAGTACAAGGCAGCCAAAAGGGCAGACATGGGGTGGGATAAGCGGGGGGAGTTGAAGTGCATGCTGCAGTTGTAAATGCAGGCAGGCTGCCAAGCACCCAAATTTTGATCATGTCACTGCAGGGGCACTAGAATGGCCGTAACTCCGAGGACCAGTCATAACTACCATTCGTTCTGCACCATTGTAACTTTGAACAGTCACTGAATGAATGGTTAAGTGAGTACTACCTGTATTTTAGTTCCGTGAAGTTTGCTATGACTGATCCAGAGTGATTTAAAAAGCAGACAATATATTTACCTGCATAGTGGAATCCCCCATTATATATTTTGCTCCTTCTATTACAGCCATATATGAAAATCTTAGTTGATCAGGAGTCTGAATCAGTCCCATCCGATATTTTCTCATATTCAATAATATTTGCTTGATATCTACGTGAAATGGGTCTTTTCTTTTTTCCATCTGGAAATGAAAAAAAAAAAAACAGCACAAATTTTGGTTGCAGATTAACAGACTAGAGTCTTTTTTCAATTTCCATTTGATTTCAGTCTTAAGTCCTGTCTCAAGATACTTGAGGTTTTTTAAAATTAATAATTTTAATTTTTATGGCTGCCCACTCATACAAGGCTGTGGACATATCCTGGTTTCTAGACCAATACTTTAATCATTACACCAAACTCTCCCATTATGACAGTGAAAATGGAAACAATACCTCCCTTTCTTGAAGCTGAGGAGACTGTTTTATAAATACCAATACAGATTATAAGAATTCTGCTATAATACTCTAACATCAAATCAGTGAAGAGAATGTATACACTGCAGGATGATAGGGACTTAGAAGATAAAACCAAGACCACACTACAGCCCTTTTTACTTTCCCTTGTGGAAATATTTTATTCCCAATTCAGCAAACTATAGCTGGTATAGTTTTATAGTGGTAAAAAGCTAGTTTTAGAGGTCCTTTCTTTGTTTCTCCATCTTCAGGAAAGACTTCATTTGTGAAACTGTCAAGCCATATCTCAATCAGGAAATGGTTTGAGCAATCTCAATTTAGGACATTCCTCAGGATGAAAGATAGCTTAATCCCATTTCCTATTTCAGATATCATGTGAAATGAATAAACATTTCTGAATCTGGACACACTAGAAGAGCAGTAAGGTGTGGTCCTGAACTGGCAAATTATTGCTTTTTGGGCAAGGAATATATCTTCTGAGCTAATTCATTCCTACTACAGTTCACAGATAAGTAAGTGGTGTTTCTTTCACATTATCTCATAATAATGCTGTGGTAGTTTTCAGATAAGTATTTATGGATAAACCTACCATGATAAGACATGTGTCTACCAATGAAAATGTACCAGAGCGTCCAATTCCAGCACTACAGTGAATGACTGCAGGTCCATGTTCAGAACTCAGAGATCCAGATTCTCTGACTTTAAACAAGAAGTTGAGGAATGAAGCTGGGGATTCAGGAACTCCAAAATCTGGCCATGTAGTATAGTGAAAATGTAGTATTACCCTGGATTCACCAGTCTAAAGAAAGAAAGAGCAATTCAGCAGGACATATCCAATATGCCTGTGTAGCCAACCAAGGGAACATGTGCTAGTTCAAATATAGTTGGGGAAGAGAAATAGAGATGTTTCATGTAAACATCTAGCTGGCTTAGATAGTACAATTCTGTGAATTTTCCTCACTTTGAAAATTCTTCTGAAAGTAATAATAATAAAAAAAATAAGACACAACTAGATAAAAATAGATTGATACAACTGATTAATACTGACATTCAATTACAAGGCAACCCAAGAAATGAAATATTTATTTAGTAAAAGGAAAATTCTATCAAGTATTTTCAATATGATTTCTTTTCCAGTTACTTCAGAAATCTGATTCCTTTTTGCCAGACTTTCTATATGTTATGAGACTTCCTCCCACTGCCCCCATAAAAGATCAGACTATTTAAATGAAGCATCTGAATAGTGAACACAGAAAGAACATCAATAGTATCTTATCCTTTGTCTACCCGCCTTTTATCAGCCATTTCTCTTAAACCAAGCAGTGTTTGCACTCCAACTGCTACTGAAAAGCTAAAAAATTATGATTTTAAAAACACCCTACTTCACTGAAATTTGCCAAGGCAAAATTAAAGTAATGGCAACATAATTTTATCAAAGTATTTTGGTGTGGTAGGCACAATGTGAATGCTAACTTACATTGATACTTTCTAGCTGGAGCTGTCGTACAGTATAGTATGATTTGACATCTTCAGACTTTAGCCTCACACAAAATCCTGTTTCTCTGAATATCATTGGTTCCTCTTCTTTTGTTGGCCAGTACTGTGCACACTTCACCTGCATTATAAAATAAGAATACTGTAATTTGTCACACACACTTGATATGCATACATTCATTTACAGTTTTTGTTACTTATTTTCTATATAGAAAACAAATTTAGCATCATCCAGGCTTACTCAGGTTCACACAAATAATCCTCCAACCTTTCCTAGATTCTAGATATTAAAATAAATTGTGCATTTCAATCAAGTCTGTTTTCTTTTAATGTCACTAGATTAAGTTGCAGTCAGATTTTAGAGCTGTATTTGCTTATGTTTGTCCACTAGCAGAATGTATACCACTGACAGATTAAATTCTTATTCTCTTCTCTATACATCAATTCCAAAGGATTGGGAACCTTATCAAACACAATTAATTAATTAATTTTAACTAAAAAAGAAGACAACTCACCGAATCTTTCTCAACAATTCTATTAAGCATGACAACTGCTTTGGTCTTTTGTTGCCAAATCATTAGCCAGAAATGGCAACATGTGTTAGGAAGTGGACCCTGCACAAGAGAAAGGAACAAACACCACATAGACTTAGAACTAAACCTTTCCTGAAAAAGCCAGACTATGGAGGAAAGTGCTTAACATAATACTGATCACAAAGTATTTGGAACAGTAATTCTGCATAGTACATTTTGAAATGTGGCCTATGTGTGAAAATTCTAAGCAGAAAAAACTCCTGAGCCCTTCTCTCTTTTCAATGAAAGGAAAACAATCTTGAATGAAAAAAAAATCAATTAAAACACAGAAAAGTAAACCAGGGTAAAATAGGAGAAAAAGAAAAGAAGTCTAAGGAACCAACACTCAGCCTTGACTATTAGAATAGAATATCTACCATAATGTAATCAAACCCTATACTACCTAAAGTCTAATAATTACCTGTGTTAATATATAATTTCTTTGAGCTTCTTCATTAACCACCAAGCTGGCATTGATGTAATCATTGTCAGTATTCTGTAGTATTACACGACTGTGATCATCTTGAAAAGAATATAATCAGGAAAATGTTAAGTTTCATATTGTTAATATATATCTATATCTTTTATCAGCAATGCTATCAGTCAAGGAACTGTACTTCAAGAGATTGACCACTCTGCCAACAAAATGCTTCTATTAGAATAATATATAGTGGATAATTTATTCTCTTCCAGGTCTGTTTGGAAAGGAGAAAAGAAAATACTTCCATGAGCATAATACTGCAGGTGCAATGGGGGGAATGGAATGGAACCTAATTTATTTTACAATGCTTATACTATATCTTGCAGTATACATTTAATAAAATTAATTATTTAATATACAAATTGAATGCTTGTACCATTAAGTATTATCTCCCTTTTATAGCACTTCTGGAAGCAAATAAAGGAAATTTTAAAGGAACAAAGTACTGTAATATAGAAACTCTTTTCAGAGTAATCTCCAAATGAAGCAGAAGCAGCATAAAGCCTCTGTTGCAGTTCTGTGAAGCAAGCAAAATTTTAACTGACATTATTACTAGATTGCTTCAATTTCTTCAGGGACTATCTACAATAAGCACACTTGTATCATCTTCACTTGCATTTCAGGATACAAATTTGCCTCTAGATCCTTACATACACCTAAATAATACATAATATTCTTTATTACTTTTATATATCCCCAGGCCTCCAGGAACTCAAGATAAAATATTTTGTCCCTGACACATATGTTACTATGCGGACACAACATACCATAACTTTGGTTAGCTAGCCATATTTTGGCCCACTGTTTGAACTAGTGTGGGTTAAGTGTTTCACATGTACCCAGAAAGTCAGACTGAGTATACTATTGTTAAGTTATTCATGGGTAGGCATGTCATGAGAATAACTGCCTGTATATTTTTTTAACCTACCCATTATGGTAGGTTAAATTAAGACATAATTACAAAACAAATTGAGTGAACTGAGTGAAAATCTGAATCTCAGTTTCTTCAATTTTACTTTCCTTGGGTAAAATTTGAGAGGCTGAATCCATTAGCATTTATATTGCCCTTCAAGGAAATATTTCACATTTATAATTTGATTAATTCTAGTAATTATTTATGTTGTCCAGTTTTATTATTCTCATTAGATTTAAAGAAGTTTGTGGCTTGCATAAAGCTACCCTGTGAGTTTAGCAAATGTACATTTTGAAACAGGAATTTCTAAGCTCACAGATCACATTTGTAGTGATAGCATAATACTAGCTCTTCTTTCTCAATTGTTAACTGATCATCTCAAGATTTATGCTTCTCATAACTGTATGAAGAAAATGTTACGCTGATAAACAGTAATCTTTTTATCCACCTGCACAAAGTTATTTTTTGAAAATCAGTTGAAGATGGTAGCTTACACAAACTTAGCATTTCACTGAAATGAAAAAGCAAATTCCAGCTACTGAAAAATTGGGCCCACAATCCGAAGAACTAGTTGTAAGTCCAGAACAACTATGTAATTAATCTAATTCTTTCCTTGTTTCTTAGTCTGTGACACTTTAACTGGAGATGAAGTTTGCATTAAAAAATACACAATGGCTTAGCTCACTGCATGTTAAAAATGAAGAAAGAAATATTACACTCTATCCTCAGGCTGTGCACATAGTTCTCTTAAAAGTGTGAAATCATCTCATTTGGATTTCAGCCAGGGTGGTTCCCTTAGAACCCTTGAAATGACACTGTGATTACAAATTACAAGAGTTAAGAGGATGTATAAGTATAAAACAAAGTATATCTAGTTCAAAATGTTGAAGAACATAACCCTATCTCCCTGTCACTGGCTTAGAGGATCTCTAATCCTACAATTAAGCAAGCACAGATCAGATAACTACTGCTTAGTTCTTAAAATCATGTTTTTATACAGTCTTATGTATCAGCATTTATAGCTGGTAAGACACAATATGCTTAAAAGGTTGCTTGAGTGTTTTAGTTTGCGACGTTATTTGTGATAAAGAAACTGCCTTCTCCTTCACTGCAGACTGTGCACATAAATAGTTTTAGTCCTAAGTTAAAAATATATGCATAGAAACTATTGAAAACATGTTATGTCTAGTTAGTGTAATCAATAGAGACAATCTATTCTGGTAGGGATATGATATCCTCAGAATGCATTAAAATAATATTCAAACTTTAAACAGTGTTTCCTTCAACCCTAAATACTCTGTGTGGAATTGAATGTGTTAAGTTTCTTGTTTAGTGTATCAATTTATTGGAACTGAAATGTTTCTACTGGATAGAAACCAAAGCCTTTGTAAATACTACATACCATTTGCCAACAGGAAAAACTTAAGATCTTGTTATAGTAAATTGCAGATACTGGTACTAGTGTTCTCGGAAATATGATGTCAGCAAGTATGGTTTTAACCACTTAATCACCAAGCAGTTCCTGTTTGATTTCATATAATACAGCACTATTTCATTTCTAAGTTTTATTCTACCAATGTCAATGAACAAGTTTCCTCTCTGGTTTGTCAAGCTGCTGTTCTACTCTACTCACACATACACAAAAACCTATATAGATCATGAAGAAGAAACAGATGTCAACACAACTGCTCCAGTGAAAGAGAAAGGGCTCTTCTGCTAAAAATAGAACTAATAATGTTTTGGACAGTTCCTATAACTCAAGCATACAAGAACTTCACTTTTCTCAAATATGTACAAAAAACAGATCTACTTTTTCAGAAAGTGCATTCATGATAAAACTTGGGACCCCTTTGTTTAGGAAATTATTGTTAAACAAAAGAAAACAGGTATCTTTCAGTAACTGCCACATTTTGAGCCAAGACTAAAGGAGGGTTAAGGATCTCCTTAGTGTTCTGACTAATGGCTAACGCTTCAGCCAGGTGATTATGGAAACCTCTTGTATAGATTTCACTAATGCTTGATCTACAACTTTGTTAATTTGGGGGTGGTGACTCTTTCCAGTTTTTATTTAAATATAGAGTTAGTCTTTCAGAAATACTTTACCTCAAGTAGAATAGATTCAATCTTTTGTCTCAGTCTGATAACCTTGAATTTATGTCATTTAGAATCCTTGTTTTGAAGCTCAATAATATAACAGAAAATATTTACAGTATTTTTTAAATTATATAATGAGAATCTTTTAAAAAAAGGATATACAAAAGTGGGATAGAAAGATGGGCAGATCACCAAAGAAAAGTATACGCAAGTAGCTTGGAATTTTATAGGTGGTGTCAAGAATGTGAAACTGAGGTTGTCCTTTTCTTCAAAATGGGAAGTAAGTTGGGTCTGGTGAACTACAGATCAATCAGTCTCATACTGATACTTGGAAATATTTTAGAGCACATCATAAAGGGATTAACCCATGAGCATCTAGAAAGCAATGCAATAATTACCAGAAATCATTATGGATGAACATGTGAGACTAATCTTATCTCACTTTTTGATTAGATAGTTTTATTAGTAGATGCTGTAGACATAATACATCTTGACCCCAGGAAATAATTTGACAAAGTACCACAAGGCAATCTAAAAAGCAAGCTTGTTATGTGTGGGCTGCACAGCACAGCAACAAAATACATTGCTAGCTCAAAAATCATCTCCCAAAAGTGTTCATCAATGGTTTCTCATCAAAGTGGAGAGAGATATCAAGTGGATAAGGGTAAGTCCTGAATCCTGTACTGTTCAACATTTTGGGGGTAAATACTTACTAATTTGCAGATAAGAAAAAACTGCAGATAAATTTGAGAAGACAGGAACAAAATTAAAAATGACCTTAACGTGTTAAGGGAAATGGATTGACAACACAAAATGAGATGTAGGAAAGACAAATCATTGTTAGAAAAAACTTCCCAACAGTAAGAGCAGTTCACAAGTGGAACCAATTACCCAGAGAGTTGGCTTCCTGCTGAATACTTTTAAGCTGAGGTTGAACAATCATCTGTTGGAGATTTCATGGAACAAGAACTTGGACTCAGGGGCATAAATAACCCCTTCTGTCCTTTGATTCTATGTAAACATTTGTATCCCACTCTTCTAATGCTTCCATACCACTCAGAGCGGCCAACAGTTTAAAGAGACAGAACAGTAATTCCAAAATAAATTGAAAATACATCAGAATGAGAGATATAGAACTCAATTAAAACATGAGATAAGTCTTGCACTTTCCAAACTTCTCTTTGTTCAATTCTTTAAAGTTAATATTCAGTTAATTCAATTCTACTCAAACATCTAACTACATTTACAAATACAAAAAACTTAGAAAATATTAGAATCAACATACTTATCACAACACAGTTCTGACTGTTCACCCTCTAAAGTTCACCCTAAGAAATAACAGGGGGAAGAGAATGTACCCCCACCTCTTATTTCAACATTCTAAAGACAAGTTCAGCTAGTGTTAATTGTATACAAAAGATACAGGTACTCAAAAACTTATAAAAAGTAATTATGGTAAAATCACCCATGTATCTAACGGAATAATGAAAATGATCTTGGATTTCATGATATGGTCACACAGTGCAACAATCTCCTTGTTATTATGAGTCTGATCAGCTCCTGGAAGGAATACTGTTTAGAAGTTTTATGTACAGTTCCACACTAACTTGAGTTCCACAGAGATAAAATGGAACATAAATCTTTAAGGAAAAGAAAATCAAGCCTTTGGCTGCACACACTTAATTTCAATAACTCATGTGACACTTCATATATTTATGCTTTTTAAATTTATAATACCAGACCAATGTTTATTCTATGTGCAAGGCTAGGCTGAAATATCAATAAAAATGTAATAGTGTAAATAGTATCTCTTTGCCATATATTAAGTTACAATAAATAAAATCTTACTTACATGGGCTAACATCTCTGTATCTGTTCCGATTTCGGTTTTCTGCATACTTTGCCACTTTATGAGGATAATCACTAGATTGATGCCGAATATCCTTGAAGAAACAGCAATAGTTAACAAATCTTAATTGTCTGAAAACAAAAGGTTTTATGAAAACAAAAAGGTATTAAACAAATCAGTCATTCTTTAAAAGACATTATAGATTCGTCTCAACTTATTTAATCTTTCATTTTTCATAGATGGAAAACTCAAGAGCAAGAGTGGAATACTGATCAGTTGTATGACATTAATGAATTCCAAAGTTTCTCTATTAGGAAACTTTTGCACTGTTTTGCATGCATGGCTATTTGATGGAACTCTGCACAGTATCAGTTTGTTTCAATACCAGTATTCTGACTTCCATTGTTGGGATTACAGTTGCTGAACCATTTCTATTGACATTTGACATCATATCAAAAACCTCACTAAAAACAACATTTGTACCTTACAAATGAAAATACATTTCAAACAAATTTCATTATTAAAAATTAAACAAAAAAAATCAGAATACTGTAGTACTTAACATTTCTGTTACACTATCACAAAAGAGAGATGAAAAGTTATGCTCAATTTACCAGCAAGTGAGACATGTAATTTAAGAAAGTATGAAATAGTAACATCCTTGTTCAGAACAAAAGGATATTGAATTGCCCTCCACAAAAACAGGATGAGGATTATACCACGCGGTAGTTCAGTCTTATGGTCCATTAAAAAAAAAAAAAAAATCCCATTCACCTGAATATTGCAGTAGTTAGAAGACATGGATGAAGTTAAGGCAACACTGCATTCAGATACTAACACAACCTGACCTCATACACTGACTGTACTTGTATATCACAGGGACCTGTTGTCAGTGTAACAATAATTTTGTTAACCAACTGCCTGGCTTTACATAATAGACTGAACCATAAACAGCACATTGAGAGGTTGCCACAGCACACTCAACCAAAACTAATCAATCATATTTAACTGAGTAAATTTTGGGCAAAGCCACTCCAACAAATATATGAATGTGCAAGGCATATTCATTTTCTCATAAATGTGACTGTCAACACATCAATCATCCATATGTAGGGATATAACAGTATTTTGTATAGTTATGTTCTGTATGGGAAAGTGTATGAAAAAGGAGAAAAACAAAAATTATTTTCCTTCTGCAGACTAGAGTTTCAGTTCATCTAAAGTGGGCAGAGGAGGAGTGTAAAATGAGTGTTTACACATTACATATACATTATCCATCCACATTGAATGTAATGTAATGCAAATTCAGCCAGTATGGTTAGTTTGGGGTTGAATGTGTTGTGCAAACCCGGTCAAATGGGTTAATTCAGTAATACATGCTTAAACAAGCCTGGCTAATGATTTGGTTTTAGACTGTCCTTTCGATTCTTTTTTGTCTTTTCTATATAGAAAAGCTCCTTCCATTCACAGAAGCTCCTACAGAAGCTCCTATGCCGAATTCCCTTTGTATCACCTCTTCTCTTGCTATAGCTGGTTCCCCCCAGTCCTCAACTACAGAGACACAGATGGAATTACAGCCAGTATCCCCTAGTATTCATAATAGTAACTAGAAATGAAATGTCCATGTTCAGAGGTAATATATTGCTAATAACTAAAGAAAGGAAATTACTCTCTTAGTTGTCTGTGCTTGATTTTAGTAAGAACACCATGCAGATAATTCTTTGAGACAGTGCATAACTTCAGTCTTTTGTTCTGATCTAGCAAGGCAACCATTACTTCAGGAAACGTTTATATAATTATAGCAGAAAGCTTAAACAATATAGGCATAAAGTCAGCACTCAGCTATGGATATGAACACAGCTATTCATATATTCATATATAGAAATGCTGATTTAAGACTCAAACCAGAGTGAAACACAACTTAATTCTTCCTATCAGCATGTCAATTTAGTCTCATTAACATTTGCTAATGTATCTAGAAAATAGCACCAGCAAGTATATTTTTTGCTAATAGTACTTAACATCTGATTTACAGGTTGTGTTTGTATAGTACACTGAACCATAAACTAGCCACCATAGTTTAACCTAGTGTATTACATGAACCCAGCCTATATACTGTATGCTAGCGTGTTGCATACAGCCTATCAAAAATTGAATTAACGGACTAAGATATGGTTCAGTTAATTACAGGGAAGCATATGCAGTGCAACCACTGATTCCCAATAGAGTTTCTGACAATTTCAATTAGATTTTAAAAGGTTCCAACTTCAAAACCATGCTTACAGTCTAAGAAAGTGCTAAATTCAAACAGCTATAATACAAATTATTAAAACTGAATAAAAGGATTTTTATGGTTTATTATAACCTTACCAGTTTTAAGTCAGCTATACATGTTCAGTTTAACTCACATCATTATTGAGCACTATAATTAAAATTTTGTTGGGGGGGATTTTCCAGCGTAAGAACTTTCTTTCATCTTTTCTAGTCCTCATATGCTAAATTTCTTAACAGCATAAAATTCAGTAATCTAGTTCACTAAAATTTCTAATACAAGATTTCACAAAACATGACTAAAAAGTGCTGTTGCTTATTTACAATGAAAAATTAGCTAATTTCAAACAAGATTGCCATGTTACTTAAAATCATATTACAATGTATTAAGGGAGTATATAAACAGGCAGGATTGCATGCATGAGAGTCACATTTTTATTATGCTTGCACAATTGTGGTATTTCACAGATTGCAAACTGCATCCATTTTAGGCATATTTTTTACCAACTCAGCTGCTGTCAGACCTTTAGTTAAAGCAACAGGCAGCATCTAAAGCTAAAAAACAAAAAACAAAAAATAAAAAAATGGTATGCTTCAAGTACTAGCATTGAGATTTATCTATAAAACTGAATCAAATTTCAGTTTGAAGTTTCAGTTCCTATCAGTTTGTGGCTCAGCACCTGGTGATGATGTAAAGCCCCAGGGAGGAGCAAAGCCCAGCAACAAAACTACATCACATTAATTGTGAAACTAGATAGTTACACAATGGGACCCTTTTAAAAATAGTAAAAGCTGTATTTTTACTGTGTGAAAAAGTGACCAGTAACCTTGAACACTTAGATTTAAAAAAGGCTTATGTACAAGTCTATAAAAATAACTTCTTGATTAATCCATTAAATAATTCAAGTGACATCCACCACTTGATTTTTCTAATGATTAGTTGAAACTGAGTATTTCTTAGAATATTTTGCTATTTTATACCAAAAACTCAGAGTCAATTATGATAAGGTCCCCCTTAATACTATTTCTGCTGGTGTTCACTTTCATACTACCATCATACAAGTAAAGCTACCTATCACAAATCTTCTTTTTTGATTTGTATTTGCCATCTTTCAACAGGGATAGGTAATATAATCTGTTGTCATTTAGAGCTACAACTCCATAAACTTCAGCTAGCATGTCCAACTGTCAAGAATAGCTGGAACTATAATCCAGAATAACCAGTAAATAGCAGGCTGTCAATTCTACCCCTACAGACTCTTGAAGAACACTGAGAATTATTCTACTTGATAAAAGGGTTGTTGTACCTTTAATATTTTTTTTATTCCAAATTACAGATATATACATACATACCACATATACACACAATTGGTTGTGGACAGAATTGTAACCAATGAGGTCAGGAAAAAAAAGCATAGTACCAACAGTACTAGACCTTAAACACTTACAAAATACAGATAATTATCCTGCATAAGAGCACCTTCAATGATTACCCTTTAAGATGCCACCAAATATATTTATAGATACAAATACTGTACAGTACAGATATTCCTCTGGAAATTCTTTTAGGTAGCTCAACTGTTTAATCGTAAATATATTCTCCCCCCCCCCAATACTATTTCACCATCTCATTCCTATTCAGATTTTGGGGGATATCTTTGTCATTAGCCTTGTTTAGACATGAAGATTCAGTGCTTGTATGCTTAATACTTAGGGTCATGCCTGCAACATGCACAGCCTCTTCCCTGAAGTCCTATGCAATGAGGACAGGAAAGTTTTTGCTTCCTTTTTTAAAATTAACTTTAGTGCACTGTTAAATCTGTTTAACTGTTAAATCTAACAACTAACCCTAGCATCAATCAGCCATCCTTGTAGTGATATAAAGTCTATTCTCATTAGTGTTAAATAGGCACAACACAGGCTACATGACTCTAAGAAGATACTATAACGCCTGGTTTTATATCTAACTTTGGTGATAAGGCTGCCATATAAGCTTAGGAAAGCTGTTATTTCCCACATTTAACTACTCTTGTGTCCATTCAGTAGGATCTACTAAAATCTACAAGGCAATGTATTCAATGCTTTTGAATACGTGAATATTACAAGAAGGAACACTGCAATGAGATATTTCCTGTTTTAACCAAACTCATCACATGCTAATCCTAACCCCACAATCCCTTCCCATTAGCTAAGATTAAGGTTGACCAAAGCACGGGGAAAGCGATCAAGGCAGTTTGCTCTAACATGGGTAATTGAACACTATGAGCGCAAAACACACTTTAGCGTGTGGACAGAATCACACCGTGATACTTTGCAGCCGCCTTCAGTGGCAATAACAGCTTTTTCTTAGATGGGCCGCTTCAGTTTAAAAATACTGTTCAAGACCAAGTTCAGAAGCCAAACGAAGCCTTGCAGCGGTTGATCTCCAGGAGTTCAGCAAGACAGCGTGACAACCACGTGGGGAACAAACCACCGAGAGCAGCTCAGCGACGGGCTTTGCGAAACTTCCTCGCCGACCTAAAGCCTCGCCCTTGCCAGCCGCTTAAGTCGGCCACCGGAGCCGCCCGCAAGCGGAACACGCGTGGCTGGAAACCTCTCGCCTGCTTCCCTTTCCGCACTCCGAGCGTCGCTTCTCCGCGCTCATCGCGGTCCCTTCTGAAATTCGGGACATGCGCACTTCTTCCCCCGAGTCTCTGCGCGTACCTGAGAACGCCCGCCGCGCCCCCCCGCCTTTTTCCCCTCTTCCCCCCCCCGCCCCCCCCCCGCTTCCGACATGCCCCCCCCCCTCCCCCCCCCTCGGGCTATCGCCGCCATTATGTCCGTCATCGCCACTATAGAACAGGAGTTTCAGGAGGTCGACGCTGCTAACGACTGGCAGGCCCCCGACCTTGGGTGGGAGGGGGGGGCG